CGATGATTTCAGCTCCTGGTGTCAGAGAAATAAACTAATCCTTAACACCTCGAAGTCAGTGGCCGTGAAATTTTACAGGAAATGGCGACCCCACAACGTTATCGTCCACAAACGTCCACAGAATTCCTGGGTATTCATCTTGACGCCAACCTAAATTGGAAAAAACAAATAATTCATGTATGTGCAAATCTAAACAAAGCCTTTTATGCTATATGGCAGATAAAGCCCAGTTTAGATGAAGCAGGCCTCCTAAATATTTACTACGCAATGGTTCACTCTTGGCTTAGTTTAAATATCATGGCTTGAGGAAGAGCAAGAGACTCAAATACAGTTTTTGTGGCTCAGAAAAGAATCCTGAGACTTATATTTAATTTGAATTTCAGAGATAGTTGCCGGCCTATTTTTATAGAAAAAAAGGTTTTAACCCTCATATCTATTTATATTTTGAAATGTGCTATGTTCGCAAGACATAACTTATCGGTTTTTGCGACAAATGGATCTGAACACGAACATAATACACGGCATGGAGCTTTTTTGAGAATGCCACAACACAGAACCTCATTATATGAGAACTCCCCACGGTATAATGTAATCAGTTGTTATAATAAGTTACCAAATCAGCTGAAACAAATTACCAATGATAAGGTATTTCACAACAAAATTAAAATCTTTTTACTTAGAAAGTGCTTTTTTTAGTATCACCAGAAGAATTAAGTAATGTTGTGTCATCCGCGTATAACTTAATATTTCCTTCCATATCACCAGTTTATCTTTCATGTTTCTTTCATGATTCTTTAAAAAAGTGTTAAGTTTATTTTCATTATTCTCGTATCCTTAATTTTACAAAAGTACGATACTCAGTAAAGCGAATTAGCTTCTTGATTTATCTCAACATTTTATGTGGAAAACATTCATATAAATATTGCTCGTTAAAGCAGGCACTCGACCTCCAGCGAAGGCGAACTTGTTCTGCAGGATTATGAATTCAAATAAATTTCTGATAATATTACTCCAAAAAGCGTATACTAACAAAAGTGCAACACGGTGACATTCAAACAACAATATACTTTGCACCGAAAGGAAAAACATCAAGAGATGACATTAATATTATTTTTCATCAACCATGTCTAGTTTGTGAGATGTTCATATTCAGAACCTAACACAGCCACTACCTGATAATGTTCAAACTACAAACGAACAATATCAGTGATACAGAGCTTTCTTATGAATTTGCATAATGAAACTATTTAAAATCTTTTCCACTTTTCCACCTCAGTTTAGTTTTACCAAACTTTATTTTTATACATTCACCTCCCAAATTGATTTCTATAATCACATCAATTGAAATATCAAGGTCACAAAAGAAGCAGTTCGAAATGTTATTTGCTAAGGAAACCGTTATGTTATAATAATAATAATAATCGTTATCAATCCTAAGAAACAAACCAGCACTCAAATAAGCTATTTAAATACCAACACATCAATTTAAACTGCAGCACATATATACATACATACTATTGAAATATTGATTTTTCCCCAAATTTTGAGCGATGTGATATGATTAGTAGTTTTCTTGATTTCCCTTGTATTATATCATGGATGTTATTCATTTGATTGAAATTCAAATTCGTGTTAGGAATCACACGTTAAAAGGTAAGACCTCGTTAGTCCTTATCTCGCACAAGTTTCTCAACTTCTGAGAGTTGACGTTCGTATGGGGGCGACAGCTGATTAACGGAAAAACAGATTTTTTTTTAAACAGAATGTTTATGATTTTTTCTAATAGAATGAGTGAAACAACAAATTTTCAATTGAAAAATGGACTGAATGTCTAAAAGATCACATGGTGTATATAAATATGATTTTGTTTCAAAATATGCTAATGCGAATATATATTTTATTATTTTATTTTGCATTTTCTTTATTTTGCATTTTTGCATTTATCAGTGATAAATCAGCTGTTCCCCAAATTGAAATTAAATATTGTAGATTTGAATATACCAAACAGAAATATATACATTT